AACAGCGTACCTCCGCCCGTAGATGAGATCGAGCTGGCTAAACAGAGAGCACAGGAGATCGCTGCTCGTCTCTTCAGCAGTGCCGAGGCCAAACGCCCGAAGTTCGATAATGGCGGAGGAGGCGGCGGATATGATTCCAATGATAGCAAGGGGTTCAGCTCTGGTCCTCCGGGTTCGATTCTTTGCTCTAATCTCATTTTTCATGTGCCTTTTCGCTGTAGGGTTTGTGACTGTGATTATTGCTTTGGTAACCTCGTCTTGATCTCTAAGACGAGCATGTCATTTGAATGAATTCGACTAAAGTTAGGTAATAATGAAAAATGAATCTTCTAATTGTTTCGGAGCAACTAGAAAGGGATTACAGGACTAGGAAGAATTCTGTTTCATGATTATGTGGGTTGAATAAATTGTAACAAACAGTTTAGGTTTCATTTGTGCTTTCACTCACAGATACACGTGCACAAAATGTGTGAAGTACTTAATGTGTACATGATCTGAAAACAGATGTGTTTTGTGTTTGAAATCAATAATGATTTATATACGTCCTCAGATCACCTGCTTATGGTTTACTTTTCTGTAAGTGCAGATTATGGACAAAAGCCTTATTCGACCACTGCTGTATCTTCTGCTTATGGTTATGGCAACCCAAGTAAAAAGATCGACATCCCAAATGGAAGGGTAGGTGTGATAATTGGTAAAGGTGGAGAGACTATAAAATATCTTCAGCTGCAATCTGGAGCAAAGATCCAAGTTACCAGAGACATGGATTCAGATCCTCATTCACTCACCCGAACTGTAGAGCTAACAGGTACTTCAGAATCAATAGCAAAGGCTGAGCAGTTGATTAAGGATGTGCTTGCTGAGGTATAGTTGATATCAACATGATATGCTTTCCATCTAGTTGTAACATGCTTTGAGTAGCATGTATATGTTTATATGTTCATAATTGTTGATTTTGTTATTTAGGCTGAGTCAGGAGGTTCTGGCATAGTTTCTAGAAGAATGCCTGGTGAGTCAGGTGGTGCTGAACAGTTTGTGATGAAAGTACCTAACAACAAGGTATTTTATGCTTAAAGCTGGTTTAAGTTTACTAGTCATTTGTTGCAACTGGTCTTTAACTGTTCCATTTTTGTTCATGCTTCTAGGTTGGTCTTATTATTGGTAAAGGGGGGGAGACCATAAAGAATATGCAAGCCAGTACAGGAGCTCGTATTCAGGTCTATTTAAGTTTCTCTGTTCTCTATGAGCCTATCTTCTATATCGAGTGTTAAAGTCTCTCTTTTGAGGACTACACTTGACAAGAGAAATGATTATAGCTGAAAAGATTATTGTACCTGTTATCAGGTGATACCATTACACCCACCCCCTGGTGATACTTCAACAGAGAGGACAGTACAGATAGATGGATCCAGTGAGCAGATTGAGGCTGCAAAACAGTTGGTTAATGAAGTAATCAGTGAGGTATGTGCAGTTATACAAGGAGACCAAGCATCAGCTTGGTTTCAGAAACTGTATGCTAGATTGCACTTGCTTTTCAGTATACATAGCATCTTTATTCTTACTTGGATAACATAGTATACTTTGATTGCTCAATATGTGAATCCAATGGTTGCATGATTCAAAATGAAACTCTTTAAAATGGGTTTTTTTTAGAACTTTCTGCTAATTTAGGACAAATTAGGTATCTTTTAGTTAAAGGTTGTTACACCTCCCATTTCTGCCCTTCTTATTTGGTATGTTATTGTAGAACATATTTTTTTTGAAGTCATCTTATACCATAATCCATAAACTCGATAAATTGCCACCACCTGCTTCTATTCCCTATATTCTACATGTACAATCTGAGGTTGCAGATTTCTGTTGGTGCTGCTCTTTGGAATGAACAGCTGTCTGAATGGTAAATGCATGCAGATACATATATTTCATAATGAAAAGAAGAGAGCATATTTGTATATTGGATTGGATTGCCTCTGCAGGGCTGTTGGAAGTTGGAACTTTGTCATCTATACTTACAGTTGTTAGAATCAACTGATGACTGTCTTATTGGTGTTCTAACAAGGAAATATATATATATATATATATATATATATATATATATATATATATATATATATATATATATATATATATATTACATACCTGGTTATGAATATGATAAATCTAGGGTTTATATGGATATCTGATATAGTTAATAAGCATATAAAGATTATGCTGAACCTAGATTTAAGGACTCGAATATTATAGTTGTATATGTCTTGTTGCTGATATTGCTGTTAGGATGATTCAGTGGGTGTTGGGGTAGTTGGAGTTTTGGTGACACCAACTTGAAACTGGTATGGCTCTAAATCTCTTTCCAGAAGAACTGCAAATATATCATTGCTATAGAGATTTCTGCGTGGTGTGCTATACTATCTATACAGTATACATATTGGGGTTTGATTGAGGATATTAATTGCCTAATTCCTAACACACTATTTATAGGTTATTCACCATTTTTATAAACCATAAGTGTTTCTTTGGATAAGAATGATACACTGCTATCATATATTGTATAGTTTTTTGCCTCCTTTTTTGTTGTTGTTGTTGTTGTACCCATTCACTTCGAATAGGGAGAGGATGGTCTTCTTCTCACTTCTCTTCTGCTGGAGTAAGCTCGGTAATACCACCCGACCAGTACGGTATGTAGGCCACTAAACCCCGTCTTGATATATAATCATATCATCAATATCAATTAATGTGCTTTAATAATAATAATAATATCTGTGCTGCTACTACTTACTTGTAATATGTAATTGCTTTCCATGCTTTTTTCTGCCTACCATATCTATATGAATGTATAAAATTAGTAGTATATGCTTTGTTAATTAATTTTTACCATGCATGTTTATAAAATGTTTTTTTTGGCTAATTTGAGATGATGACTTTTATCATGCAGAATCGTCCGAGAAACTCAATGGGAAGTGGTGGAGGAGGATATTCACAGCAAGGCTACCAAGCTCGACCCCAGACAAACACCTGGGCCCCACCTGCACCCCAAATGCCACAACAAGGCTATGGTTACATGCAACCAGGTGCATACCCCGGTCAGCCCGCTCAATACTCCCAACCCCAATACGGCGGCTACCCTCGTTCAGGCGGATATGCCGCCGGCTGGGACCAGTCCGGTCAGCAAACCGCACCGGGAGCTGCTGCTGCTGGTGCTGGTAGTGGTTATGATTACTACAACCAGCAACAAGCTCCCCAAACCCAACCACCTGGCGGCACCGTGGCGGCAGCAGACGGGTCTGGTTACGGGTACAGTCAGCAGGGTCAAGGTTACGGTCAAGATGGATATGGTGGGTACTCGCAATCTGGTTATGCGCAAGGATACGATCAACAAGGCTATGGTAATCCAACAGCTGGATATAATGAAACCTCTGATGGTCAAACTGGTCAAACTGCTTCATATGGTGGACAAGGTGATACTACTGCTGCTCAAGCTCCACCACCTGCATCTGGAGCTCAATCTGGTTATGTTCAGCCTCCACCGCCTGCTGCTGCTTCATATGGTTCCTATGGGGCTCAGCCGCCTTCTGGATATGGTGGGTATGGACAGAAGCCTCCTGTTACTCCACCGGCTTACGGGCAGCCGCCACCACAGCAGTCTCCTAATGCTGCCCCACAAGGTGGTGGCTATGCCCAACCAGCTCCTTATAGTGGTTATGGGCAGGCGGATGCAAGCGGTCAGCGCCCTCCTTATGGTGGTGCTGCTGCTGGGTATGGCCAAGCAGCATATGGGCAGCAGCCAGCTGCAGCAGCATATGGAGGCTCGTATGGCGGTGGTTACCCCCAGCAACCTCCTGCATATGCCGGCGATGCTGCTGCTCCGGCGACCCAAGCAAGTCAGGGTAGCAGTGGTGGTGCGGTTGCGAAAGCTTCACCTCAGCAGAGTTGATCAGGTAAGAAGAGTAGAATGTTGGTTATAAAATTGTGGTAAGTGGTAACTCAGATGATCTTTTCTTTCCTTGTTAATTGAATATTTTTGCATGTTTTTGTTGGATACTTGGATATGCCCTTTTTAGACATTTCACATGTTCCATATTCCATATTGCATCATCATATGTATGAGTCATGTTTGGTGATTGTTTAAGTTAATTGTTGACATGTAACCTTGTTTCCCCTTTTATGATCGATTATGGCATGGATTTTAGTGAACTCTTCAATTAAAGTCGAACACTTATTCAGAAAGTTCTTAGCTACGGAGGTGAAGAAAATAATTATCGTAGATAGAATTTATATTATAAATTTGTGAGATTTGATTAGAGCATCGATCAAGAATGAAATAGAGCCACGTGCTCGTCTGCATATTCAAAACATGAGTACAATAAAATATACAATAAGGAGATTAATGTAAGGCTAAAATAAGAAGGGTAATTAAGCGAAAGATCCCCAAGTAAATGTGACTAATAAAGCAAATTTACTTTGGGTGTCGAAAACTTTGGTGAAGAATTTAGGGGTGGCCATTTGATCCGAACTTGAAAAAAACTGGAACCGGCCCCAGATTGGAATGGGATTACATATTATCCGTGCATTAAACTCGATTTTGGAACTTAATGGTAAGGCTTATGACTATATAATTATCATATAATAAAGTACATAATTTTAAAAGCAAGTAAATACGAAATTATGAAATCATACATCTTGTTCTACAAAACTCAACTACACAAAAATAAACAAAGCATCACAATTCACACAAAATGCAAATGAATACAATGCACTCGTTCAAAAGCTTAGTGAGACAAATATGATTTGATAATAACTTAGAAGATGTATATAGTAACACTTATATTAGTTATATAGTTTTTTAATTTTTTTTTACAAATTATCAAATTACATAAGAAATGAGAAGATGTATATAATAATATTGATTGATTAAAATTATGTTTTTAACATATCTAAAAGATTAACACTTGAAAAAAAATCCTTCAATTTTCATCAGATGACGATATAAACTCATTCCAATGATTGAAGATCGAGACAAGATGGTGAATAGAATTGTTGATCCGATGTGTATCATTCTCATCCATAGCTTTTAGAAATTATGATGTGATACTTGTTACATAAGACACGACTGAATATTGATACATGTTGTAATTCATATTACACGTATTAAATCGGGACTAAGACGTATGTCAATAGTATAACACTTGTACTTTTTTGTTCCATACAAAAAAAATTGTAACTCGCTATCAATCTTTTGTCTTTATAAAATACACAAATGACATCTTTAACATATTATCAAACAATTCTAAAAACTTGTCATATAACTTGGTTTAATTCCGTCACAGCCTAATGAAATTAGGCAACTCGCACCTCCCACCAAAGGGAGTAAATATGCGAATGGACAAAAATGATGGGAACCATTTGTATAATTTAGCCTAGTATTAGAGAAAAAGAATCAGGGACCTTGTTGTCATTAATTAAAAAAGCAAGGGTGAAATTTGTTGGTATATAACACTCATCCATGGACGCTCAAAACCCTTTTCACCACTCTCGACCATCTCTATAACTGCACTAAATTTAAGAACAAGGTAAATTGAATTTCCCTTCGTTTATTATATAGCATCTTCGATCAATTCCTAATCATATCGGAGCTTACGTTCAATATATGTCATTTCGTTTTTTCTTTGTAATGGATGATTCTATGTGTAAAATGTATCATAGATTGTAAAACTATTGGTTTTTTTGGGGAATATTTGAAATACCTGCGAATGTGTTCTTTAAAACCGTTCTTTTGATCGCCAATTGGTATGCAATTGCTTCGATCTTCTTAATTCATCATGCCTACGCTCAGTATTCCCATGGATTTACATGTATGGTTAATTGGAAACTCATGTAAGAATTTCTTCTGTTTTATTTCTTTGGTATGATCGATTTGAGGATATGGAGTTTAGGTCAAGTTGTATGGTTCATTTTTCAGTGAGTATATTTATCTATTGTTAAAATGGATGATTATGTTAATTACTTGTAATTCAAACACTCTTTATCTCTGAGTAATTTTATCTATGCTTTCCAATCGTAATCTTTTAGATTTAGTGAAAGCTAAACACTCTGAATTTCTTGATCCTTCATCTTACTGGCTAAATACAACCATCGACGTCTCTTAATTTCTGATTGCAAGTTGCAACCTATGTTTAGCATTTTCTTTTGTATGTTCAAATGATTTGATCCTCTTTATACACTATTATAATGTAGAAGTTATGGCATCAAAGTTGAATGTCTTACGTTCAAAGGTAGCTGAAGCCTCAAAGTTTTTGTCCAAGAATGGAAACACCTACTACAAACAAACACTAGAGCAAAACAAGAAATACATTCAAGATCCACCAACTATAGAAAAATGTCAGCAGTTATCAAATCAGCTACTTTACACTCGTCTTGCCAGGTTCCCAACTTTCCCACAACATATGTATATCTTGTTTTGTTTATGAACTAGGAAAAAAGACATAAATGCCATCGTCATCCTGAATGTTCTGTTGATGAACACCTGTCTTGTTGAATCAGTATTCCAAGTCGCTATGATGCATTCTGGAAAGAGCTTGAGTATGTGAAGCAACTGGTAAAGACAAGGCATGAGCTTAAAACTGAAGATATGGGAATTGCTGCTCTTTTTGGGTTGGAATGTTTTGCTTGGTATTGTGCTGGAGAGATTGTGGGAAGAGGATTTACTATTACTGGTTACTATGTTTAAATCCATTTCCTGCAATCAACGTTAGCTTTTTTGCCTATGCTTTGCTTTTTCAGGATATAATAAGATAGTCTACTTAGAAATACAGTTTTTCATATTTTATATGACAACTTAGGGGCGATAATCACTGCCCAAATAAATTCAAAAGATTCTTACTTTAAGTTTTGTGGTGTGGAGCACATAGTTTGTGTGTTTATGTGTGTGTGTGTGAAAATGAAGGGCAATGTCATTGGCAACTACTACTCACATCTGTAATAACATTGTAACCAAAATCTAGTTTTCTCAGGATGTGACATGACACTGGTTAAATGCTTATTGATGCAAACAATGTTTTCTTTTATAAGGATTTATACAAGAAGTGGTTTTGGACACACGTTGTGCTTATGTTACAATCGGTTAGATGAGTTCTATAAAATTTGGTTGTATATTTCGTTTGAAGAACCATTTTTCGCATAAATTCTGGGGGAGAAAAGTAAAATATCATTGTATAAACAAAGATTTAACATTTTAACTAAAAGTAAAAGTGGAATTACAATAGCACTTGATAATAATAATTGTTGTTTTACTAAAAATGCAAAAAATAATAATAATAATAATAATAATAATAATAATAATAATAACAAATTAATATTTGAGAAAAATGTAACTGTTTTTTTCCTAATGACAATGAGATAAAAGGTAACCATGAATTTGTATCAACAGAATCTGGGTGACCACTTGCCTCAATTTGGGACACGATTGCTTGGTTCGCATGGTTTGCAAGGTATTGTGTGAATTTTGAGTTTTCTTTGGGCCGATATACTTATCCGAAAAAAGAAGATGTAAATCGAGCATACATAAGTAAAAATGCTACGAAGTGACTTTTTAAAGATAAAATCAAACCAAGGACAAACAACCAAAAGCTTCTTATATCGATTAAAATCACACAAAGTGAGATGATGGGAACTTCCACCTAACAGAAATACCAAAGGGACTAAATATGTGAATGGACAAAATTGATGGGAACCATTTGTATAATTTAGCCTAGTATTAGAGAAAAAGAATCAGGGACCTTGTTGTCATTTATTAAAAAAGCAAGGGTGAAATTTGTTGGTATATAACCCTCATCCATGGACGCTCAAAACCCTTTTCACCACACTCTCGACCATCTCTGTAACAGCACCAAATTTAAGAACAAGGCAAATTGAATTTCTCTTCGTTTATTATATAACATCTTCGATCAATTCCTAATCATATCGGAGCTTTGCTAGTGTCTTATATATGTTATTTCTCTGTGAAAAAAGCTTATATCATGTTATATCAAATGCTGGTCTATATGCACTTTGTTCACCTGTTATATCATGTTATTCTTTTTTGAATAGACGTTTACTTAAATTAGAGGTTTGATAGAATAATGTGACAATAGGTTCCTGTAACAAATGTTGGTCTAATTTTTTTCAGGTGGTTATTTATAAATGGACAACATAGTGATTATGAGTTGGCCAAAATCATAGATGATATGGTAAAATGACTAAAATGATCATTTTCACCAAAAAGACCAAATTAGTCATTTTGACCAAAATGACCAAATTTGTCATCACCAAAATTAACGTAATTGGTAAAAATGATTTCTTTTTTACATGTTATTATATCATTTTTTAATTGACCAAAAAAATATTATTTTATTTGTCTTTTACGTGTGAAAGTAGCAAAATGACCACTTAAACCGTTAGCAAGACCAAAATGATGAGAATGCTTTCTTTTTTACAATTATCTTTCTATAAAAGTTGAATCTTCTTATCCAATATCATTTGTGTCTGTATTTTTCTTATCAAAGCATCATACTTTCAAAGTACCATGCCATGAATAGGTATACTTTCAAAATTAGCACCCAACTAATTTTTTTTTTTTTTCTAATAACTTAGCTCACTTGACTTTTCTTTGTAGTACATTACTACATTTTTCATATATTTGGTGATTAAAGTTGCATGATATGACAGATATAGTAATAGAATGTGCTCGATCTTTAATAAGGTTAGCTAAGGAATCAACACAAGGACGTAAATTGGATTGAATGGATGTTTAAACATATTAGGGATATCTACTTTCATTTCTTTCTACTACAATATTGTACTTTTAGTTTTTTTCTTATTAAAGCATTCTACTTTCATTTCTTTTTTTAGGACATTATACTCTATTCAATCTATCCAATTATAGTAGTATCCAATTGTTTTGTAAAAATTTACATTTTTTATACAAATTTATGAGTCGTCAAAGATCGGGTAACAAAAAGTTTGACTTTTTTCACGTGTAGTTAGGATGGAGGTACACCATGGTGTATTGGCTTTCAGAGAGTCGAGAATGGTGTGTCAATTCTTGGAGGTTAGTAAAAATATAGTAAATGACAATTTTACCCTCAAGACTCCACTTATTGTATAGACTTATTTTTATTTTTTTATTCTTCTGGCGTTTCATAATCGAGACAAAATTCAATGAAATTGTTGACATTGGTTTTAAAATTCAATTAACTCTTCTGTTTTTGCAAAAGGACCAAAATACCCTTATCATCTATTTTTAAATAAGACACCGATTTATCAATTTTTTATTTCATTTCATTTCAAGAACATTTAACTGATTTTTATTTACTTATAAACAACATAAATGAGATTTTTCCTAAGGTTTATTTAACCTTTGCTGGTGGTGCTTCCATGATTCATATACCTGAGAACTACCTTGTCCCATCACCTTGTGTCATGTCATTATGTTTCGAATTAGCATGTTCCTCATTGCAATCTATTTTTGTAATTATATTTCATATTTGTTGAAATCTTATATATTTATTATATTTTTTCTTATCCTACAAACTTTTCAAATTTACAGTTTTTTATATGGTATTTATTATCTTAAATTAGGTATGATTTTATATATTTTTGTAATTATATTTGACATGTTATATTGATCTTATTTTCAATACTATACCATATATAAGACATGTTTTAAGTATGGAAATGATATTACATTCCAAAATCTTTATGTCATATCAGCATTAATCAATTTTATATTTCCCTATAAATATAGTGTCTACGATTTTTCATTCAAAATCAATTTTCTCTCTAACTAATCATCTCCTTTCATTGCAAATAATAGTATTCCATGGCAACTAATAATGCAGACCAAGTCGTGTTTGATAAGGTTGCTGAAATCGATGCATCCAAAGAGTCTTGGAACATACGTGTTAAAGTCGTCTTGCTTTGGAAGCAGACCTATAAAAACAATCCTAAAATGGTCGGGAGCCTAGACATGATTTTAATTGACCAGCATGTACTGTTTCTACAAACTTTATTATTTAATTGACCATGTGTATGTCTATTTCTTGGAAGATTAAATGTGTCATGTTTCTACGAACTTTATTATTTAGATTGTCAGATTCTTTCTTCTTATTATTAATTGTGTCATGTTTCTACAAACTTTATTATTTAGATTGTCAAATTTTTATGTTATTACTTCAAAATTTATGTATTTTTGCATAAAAAATGTATTCTAATTGCTTTTTAAATATGGCATGGATGTTAATCGATTTCAGTTATTCTATTTTATTTTTATGTTATTAAATTTTTTGATACTTTTTCTTTAAATTTTATTTCTATTTTATTAAATTTTAATATATAATATTATTTTTATGTATTTTTATTAATTTTAATAATCAACTTTAGTCTATTCACTGAATCTGTTATTATTCCTCTCTTTTGCATCCATTTGATAAATATACAATTCTTAAAAATCTGGTTTTGTAGTTCCCGATCCTTTCACTCATTTACTCTCGATTTCTCAATTAGTATGTGTATGTTTGATTTCTTGGAAGATTAAATGTGTCATGTTTCTACAAACTTTATTATTTAGATTGTCAAAATTTTATGATATTACTTCAAATTTATGTATTTTTTCCTGAAAAGGGTATTCTAATTGCTTCGAATATGTGGTCATTCATATGGATGTTAACTTTTCCTAATTCTTTTGTTTTATTTCTATTTTATTAAATTTTGTGATACTTTTTCTTTAATTTTTATTTCTATTTTATTAAATTTTAATAAACAATGTTATTTTTATGTAGTTTTATTACTTTTTTTGTTTACACTTACTTATCTTTCATTGTCATCTACAAGGCAGTAGAATACAAGCAACAATAAAAAAAAACTCTTATTCCTGTATTTGAATCCTTATTCGATGAAGGAGCTGTCAGGGAGATCAATAACTTTGCTATGGATAGCAATGAAGGCGATTACATGTTTGTTATTCATAAACATAAAATCAATTTCTACAAAACCACAAAAGTTCGTGTATCCACTGATTTTGTTGATATGGTAGATCCTTATCATTTTATCTCTTTCCCATATTTGCTAGCCAGGAACTCTGACACTCGCGTTGCATTTGGTATGTTGTTCTGTTATTAGTTTAACTCATTTCTATACTTCAATTTTAATGTAATACACAATCGTATTATTATTACTAATTTATTACATTTGTCACATAGATTTTCTTGGTGAAGTTGTGTCAATTAATCCCATGCGAGTCATTGTTGAGAATGGAAGAGAAAAAAGGTTAATGAATCTGGTTGCTCAGGGTTTAAGGTACACATTCGTATTAGACCATCTGTTATATCCACCACTAACCACTTTAGTAGTGGGTGCCACATCATCACCACACACAACCACTAAAAGGTTGGTATACCCACCACTATAACCCTCTTATTTTTTGATTTTTAAATAAATAAATACATATATATATATATATATATATATATATTATTGTAGAGAGAGATAGAGAGAGATAGAGAGAGAAAAAATGTATTGGACGTTGGATTCCGTTGTGTGCACCACAATCCACCACTACCACTAGCTACCACTAAGTAGTGGGATGGTGTGCACTATAGTGGTTAGTGGCCACATAGACCACGAAGGGGCTCGTCCTTGGTATACCAGATGGCTTTATTATTACACATTCCCACTTTTATATTTATCTTTCATTAATAACCACCATGCATTTTTAGTGGTACGAAAATTGCGGTTGCTTTGTGGCATAGTTTTGCACTGAAGCTGAATACTTACATTTCACAACATCATAATGAAACTGATCCGGTTATCATCCTGTTACGTTTGGCCAAACTCAAATCTTTGGGTCGTAAGGATTTTTTTCAATAGATTATCGTTTCAACTTCAAAGTAATTACCGACAATATTATTTTACTATTCATTTACAGGTCAGCCTCAAGTTGGTAACTATTTGTTTGGGTCTAGATTGCATATAAATGATGATATGCCTCACATTTTAGAGTTCAAATCAAA